ATGCCCTGGCCAGCCCCATTCCCCCAAGCCCCACCCATCCCTGCCCCCCCACCCTATAGTTTAAAAAAACAAACAACCCCCCCTGCACTTACAGGCAGTTCAGCTGCCCTGTGGCTGACTGGGGCCCCACCTGTACAGTGTGGGGCAGGGTGACAGCCCCAGTGGCCCCAGCCCGGGCCCTGCTGCCCTGTGCTGCCTGAGGGGCTCTGTCAGGAGGCCCTGGAGCCCCCCCACCCCTGCTTCTAAGGTAAGCAAAGGCTTTTTTTCCATTTATTTTCTGGGGGGGGGTTTCTGTTTGGGTTTTGTGATGGTGCCTGGGGTTGTGGGGTTAGCCAAGGGGGCCTGGGGGTGCAAGTTGGGGGGTGGGGCTGGGTGGGGACGCCATTGGGGGGGGCTGCAGCAACTGGTGTGGGATGGGGCCGGGGAGGCAGCAGTTGCGTGGGGCATGTGGGCCTTGCAGGGGGGGTGGTAGCCCCTGCAGAGGCCACTTGACCCCATTGCGGGGGCATACCCCTTGTGTGGGGACTGAATTCCCTGTTAGGGGGCTGCACCCCTTGTTTGGGGCTGAATCCCCTTGTTTAGGGGTGTACCACTTGTTTGGGGGTTGAAACCCCTGTTGGGGGGGCAAACCCCTTGTTTGGGGGCTGAATTCCCTGTTGGGAGGCTGTACCCCCTGTTGGGGGGCCAAACTCCTTGTTTGGGGGCCATCTTCTTGTGGGAGTGCAGCAAAACGTGTATTCATGAAACCTGTATTTAGAGTTCACTTTATTATTATGATAAGAGACTTGCTTTAACACTATAGATATATCAATAAAACATTGTCCAACTGATCGCTGTCTCTGTCTCACTCTCTCTCTCTCTTTATAGTGGTCTTTTTTTCTACTTGTGGAGGAACATGGATTTGGGGGTATTTTACAGAGTGACTTCGGGATTTTTTTTAATCAAGGATTTTTCAGTTTTCCAACAGGGAACACAAGAACTCCTGAGAGCTAGTAGCCCTGAGCTACTTGCCAAGGCGGCTTTTTATACTGCCGTAGCCAGGACAGGGCAGCTTTTTATACTGCAGAGGACAGAACAGGTGCTGGCCCTGGGCTCTAACTCCCCCTGGCTGCAGATCCAGGAGGAGTCAGGTGGGGTTATTTTGCCACAAGTGGCACAATTGCTCCACACCAAAGTGCATGTTCGAGCACGTGCGCTGAAGCAAAAAGCCCTGGCTCAAATTTGCACTGCTTTTATTTGAGCTGCTGCAAGTGCACGTGCTTGCATGCATGGACATGCTCTCTATGCAAATTAAATGGTAAAATTATCAGTCATTCAACCACACGTAATTCCAAATGTAGAAATTCACAGTGCCTATACACGGGCTCCAGAGTGGCGGGGAGGGCTTTAATTAGAACAGCTCTGAGAGCCACTCTAATTACAGTGCCTGCAGCATCATGTGTATTCAGTGTCCTGCACTTCAAAATGGTGGCAGGAGCACTTGAACTAAAGCTTGTTTGATGAGTTTCAGTTCAAGTACCCCCACTTCCATTTTGAAGCTCGGGGATGCTGAATAGATGTGACACGGAAGCTGCTGGATCGTGTCAATTAACGTGCTCTGGCGGACTCGATTAATCAAGTCATTAGCACGCCTCAGAGCAGACATCGGGCATGTCTATAGGTGTCCTTTCTTCCTAACTAAAAGTGTCAACTTCAAAAGTACTTTCTAGGCAACAGTAGTTCATAGCCACATCTTTTCATTCACACACTCAGAAATGTCACTTGCTAAAAGTCAAATATGCAAATAATGATTAAAGTTATTTTAAATCACAAATAGCATACTTTATGGGTGTGTACAGAAGTTACATTTTTCACGTGATGAGGCCCCCAAAAGCACCCTGTAGCCATAACACAACAAACATTGATGGCTGTGGAGCACTTTTAAAATGGCCAATCGCACAAAAATTTTACCCTTGTCTGTAGTATCTTAGTGTCTTAGGGAACCTGTGTACAGGCTTCCTGCAAAGGTTAATTTAAGGTGATTCTGCCTGCATCCCATGCAGCTTTGTGGTGCTGTCACAGAGGAGAGAGAGAAAACCTCTGTCTCCTTCTTGAGCAGCTGGGTGGGAGGGAGTGGGGGAAGGGAGCCTCCACTGCCACATGTGCCCCTTCCAGCTACCCCTGATGAGGTCTTGGTGGTAGCCAAGCCAGGCCTACAAAGCAGGGGGATTCCCTTTCCCCTCCCCACCACCTGCATGAGTGTCTTGACAATGGCAGCCTTGTGGCTGCTGTTCCTGGAGTTGGGGAAGGTGGGGAAATGAAGCCCCCTTGCCTCACAGGCCTGGCCTGGCTCTCGCCAAATATTAGCTGGGCAGGGTCCATAAGGAGGGGAGCTCCATTTTCCCTGCTGCTCCAGCTCTGGGTGCAGCAGCCACAAGGCTGCTGTCAAGATGCTTGTGCGGGGGGGAGGAATGGGGGGACGGTAAGGAAGGGAGCACCCTCTTGCCACACAGACCTGGCCTGGGTCCCGCAAGATCCCAGCAGGGGTAGTCAGGCTGGGTTCGCCCTGCAAAGCAGAGAGCTCCATTTCCTCCCCACCACCTAGCCAACCCCCAAAGCACCATAGTTAGAGCACCTTCCCAACAGGCTGCCTGAAGTTCTGTATGCAGCCTATGTGAGGTTTCACTCAAACTGGTATGGATAGGTATATGTCCCAGCCTTCTTCTCCCACTCAGATTTTGCTAGGCTTTTCCTTTTAAAAAGGATTATAAGAGCCAAAGTTGGTAATACTGTGTGAACTGTTTGATGTTAACACACCTGGAATCCTTGCCAGTTTGCCACTCCTCTTAGGTCCTAATTTGTCTTTTTTGGTGTTGTTCCAGGTTCATAAGCCTTGCATTTGCAAATAATTTTTATTTAAGCAGGGATTTCTGCCACCTCTCTTTTGGGGTGTCTTGACAAAAATACTCTAGATCCAGTTCAGATTCACTTGGCACAATCTAACAAGGAGTTTATATCCTGTCACTTTCCCCAAAAGCATGTAATTAGTCCAATTTGCAATCTTTTTTTAGCCTAACTTCTTCCCACCACTCACAGCATTTCTAAAACTTCAGAGGCCAGCTGCTGGCTGAATATTTTTGACCATATGTTTAAGCAAATTGTTTAGTTAACATCCATTAATAAACACCCAGCACAATTCTGACTGTAATGTCACATAACATATCATTAAAATAAGCAGATACCTTCACTAATAAATTAATGCTGCCATGCTAAAGACAGGGTTTTTTTTCCTGATTTGAAATAGCTATCCTAAAACCAGAGGAGAAGTCAATAAATTTAACCTTATGGTTATATGTTCAATACATGAACAAGTTAACATAATTAAATCTGTTTTTGGTAATTAAGATTAAGGAGCTGAGCAACAGTGATGATAGTAATGAGATGATAGTAATGAGAAGGTCTGCGTAAGTAGGAGACAGATTTTCATATTTAGCAATGTCTAGTTAAAAATGCCAGCAAGATATCCACAAAGTTATAAAAAGAAGGGTCTGATATGTGAGAAATTAAGGGTTGGGTCATCAATGGACCGATGAAGTGAAGAGTTCATTAACAACCTACACCTTGAAAAACTAAAACTGCAAACTACTTGGGAAATGTTTATGCAAAATGAAACCATTAACAGAAAAACAGTCTTGCTTTGTGGATGGTTCATTAACCAACGAAGGGCTAATACTGATTTTTTTTTTTTTTGCATCAGCAATTGTGATCTGTTCCATGACACATGTTTGTAGCATGTTTTATAGATTTTATATCTCTGTTATTACAGGATATTTCTGAAGTTTCCCTTACTTCCTGGAACAGCCTAGAATTACCTTCCGCATCTCATATTGGAAAGGGACTCTGAATGCGGAAGGTGTTTTTACACTGGGCAGTGCCAGGTAGGAAAGGGTTAAGTGCCAAACCTAGGGAGTGTAACTGGAGCCTTGGTTTGTTTAGCAATCAGTGGAAGGAGGCAGAGCAAAGCTGAAAAGCCCAGCCCTGTAGGTCTTCTCTGGTTAAACAGGTTACTGCTGCTGTTGCAGCTCTTAGTCACTAGAATGTAGGTGGGGCTCACTCCTCCCTTAACGCTGATTAAAAAGCGGTTC